TATCATTTGAACTTTATTTATTTATTCTTTAAATTTGCTTATTATAAATGGCTTTATGACTGAAATTACAAAATACAAACTACAAAGCCTGGTTTATGAAATATGTATACATTTTAATTTTGAGAAGGAATTATTTTATAAGTAAATTATATGTTTTTGTTATATATCTGATCAAAACCTTCCTCAGTGCAACCACATAAGACAGAAAGGAATGAGCTGGGACTTTTGTAAGAAAAGTATTAAATGCTCAAAAATCAGGCAAATGTATTAAGAAGGTTGTGAAGGAAAAAGGGAACATAAAGTTTTCAGGGAAAACTGTGGCTTAAGTTAAATCAGCCCTGGGCAAGGTCTTTGGTGTTTACTGGTCTGGAAGTGAGGGAGAATTTTTGACACAGCAACTTATGCATCAGAATGCCAGGATATCAGAAAGCTGTGTACAGTACTGGAGATGAGAGTTTGTAAATAATCTGTTCAGCCTTTTTCTTTCTCTTTGTGAAAACTTTTAAGATATTCTGAGTTCAATCTGCTGATGTAGTTCCTCTGTTTTACTAGGCTTTGCTGCAGTGGACAGACTAAGAAAGACTTCTTTCCAGCTGGAGCTTTGTTCCACATTCTTCTTTCTGCATTTGTTTCTAGATTGCCCCACAGATTCAATCCACTGTTTCTAGTCAATAATTTCCATCTGGAAACTGTAGGCCCTACAGCAACCATGACCTGCAGTCCACATCAACAATTCCTTCAATATCCCACCCCTCAACATGGATATCAGTGTAAGGAACTTCTTGCAGATGTGGAAAATAACATTTTTATATGACAGTTTAAAGTCTTAGAAATGGGGGAAAGAGTAAAATAATTTCAATTTAGAGCTCGTGTGCTGAAATCAGAGTTATTTAGGCAATGCAGGACTAGGGTGCTATATAGATTGTATCACTGTAGTGTGCAAGGACAGGAAGTGATGGAGAATGACTGTAGCCAGAGTGCCACCGCTGCACAATCCAGTAGCTCCTGCAAAAAAAGGGAGAATTACACCCCTGGCTACTCGAAGTCAGTGACGCAGATTGTCAGTGTTGATACTAATAAGCATTGCATGGCCTACAAATAGCCTTGCAAACCTCCACCATTATGCCCAGTTTCCTGCAGACATCCACTCTTCCATCTTTTGGAGGACAGGAGTGTCATTTTTCCCTCTGCCCATACAGAAAACAGTGCACCCTCTTCTTTAGAACTTTCCCCCTCTAATTTTCTCTTTATTTCATAGCTAATCTTTACTTTCTTTGTGGTCATCACAGGGTGATCATAAAATCTGTCTCATTGCATATTTTAAGACCAATTTACAATGTTTACCCTCAAATGTGCTGCTTAAGTGAAGTGGGGCACACTTAAGTGACACTGCACTGTCATAAAGCAAATTCTGGAGAGTGTTGGTTTCTGTACTGCATTTTTAGTCTATTTTTTTGTTGGTACTCTCTTTTAAAATACCACCCTTTCCATCGTGCCTGGAAAAAACAAACAATCCAAACTTGAAAATGCTTAGGTGTCTGAGGATGAAAAATGTTATTCCACAGTATGGTTCCAGTGTTACCCCAGAGAAGTGGTAGATGCTCCATCCCTGGCACAGTTCATGGATAACTGACATGGGGTTCTGGGCAACCTGGTCTGGCATCCCTGCCCTGGCAGGAGGTTGGATCTAGATGTCCTTTAACTCAAGCCATTCTGTGATTCTGTGGTTCTCTCAGCCCTGTGCTAGTATAGTGCCATGGCACTGTGGTGGTCCTTGAGCACAACTTCAGGACACAATAGCCACAGGGCATTCCCACTATTGGTGCTGCTGCTATTACTGCTACTGGCTCCTGAGCTCTTCTTCTGGGCAGTGATGGATGCTGCAAAGGGCTGTGTGCTCCTCACTGCTCTGAAGCAGACTGGCCTCAGGCCCTCCTGAGATCAAAGACTTCCAAGGCAGCATGTTCCCTCTGCTGTCTTTGAACCTCTGCAGACAACCAGGGTTTCCTTCCAAGAACTCCCTTCTGCCCTTCTGAAGGCACAGGAGCAAGGAGTAACAATGGAATTTCACAGCTCAAGATAGTGTCTCCAGTTTCTGTTATCTAAGAATATTCAGGTCACCAGTTGTGTGTCTTTTTAAAGAGGGTCTGTGCTATGGCTACTTTGGACTACTGCCTCTCTACTGGTTTTATTCTTAACCTTCTTTCTTTTTCTTTTTTTCTTTTTTTTTTTTTTAATGGGATAGTTTCTTTCATCTCTAGGGTTCTTCTCTATTGTCACCTGTTTAAAGAGGCCCTGAGCGCTTCAAATATCCTGGTGTTTTTGGCATGTCTGGATGACTCAGCCAGAGCTTTTTCCCCACTCATTTTCAATGACTCTGCATCTTTAACTGTAAATATCACTGACATGTGATGCTTTTGGGTAGCTGTTAGGTCATCATAAAATACTGTATGTCCTTGATGACAGTGTTTTCTTTAACAATTAGGCTGCTGTGATAAGAAATGTCTTGGCAGAGGTGAAAAAGCCCTGCAGGGATCTGCTTGTGTGGATCACCTGAAGTAGCCCCTGATAAATGTTTTGGGTTGGTCTGCTAGCAAAATAAAACTTTGTTGGCTGCTACAGAGGTCTCAATTGTCTGGCAAATTCTCACATGCCCCACAGTTATTACAGGAGGCAGCTACCATATGCATAGGGTCTCTCTTTCCCCTCGCAGTATTATGAGGGTCAGTCTATAATTTTGTAGGTAATTTTTCCTCTTAGATGTTCAGGAGTCATGGGAGTTTTTTCTGAGTGAAGACTCTGCATTACTTCTTGTTTTCTTAAATAAGTCTGAAGTTTTATGTCCAGGTAATCACTCAGAAATTGTGTTGTTATGCAGCCTTGCTTTCTTTTAGTGAAATTTTCCCCATGTTTGGTTTGTTTGCCTAAACCCAAAACCATTAACTTCTTTAGGATTGAGAAAAAGAAAGTTGTTCCAAAATCTTTGCTGTCTGAAAACTTGTGCAATTCCTTTGGCAGAAAGAAAGCTTGAATTTGATTTTCATATGCAGCTACAAGCTTGCCTGAACCTTGCCTCACTTCTCCGGACTGCATCTTTTCATCTCTGCTTTTTGAATTGCATTTCTCTGTGGATCAGAATTCCCCAAGATCTATGATATTTTTTTTCAATGACTGAGATGCTTAATTTTAATTTTTAGTGTACTGTACTGCAAAATAAACTGTGATTCCTTTAACTTTCTATTCACTTGAAGAATGACAAAAAATGTGTCAATTAATTCTCCCATGCTTTTGCTGAGCACCACATTACTATGTTTTCGCTTATTTGATGGATATTGCTGCAGCCAAAGTCTGATCCCACCATAAATTTAGGATACTCCAGCTTTTTGAACTGTGACATCTAGACCCCATTTTCATTACTGACAAAAATCTCAGATTTAAAACCAGGGTTCATCTCTTTTGTTGTGGAAGTCATTGTTTGTGCCAAAGAAGGCTGTGATTACTAATTACTTAATTTCTATGACAGATGGAGCTGGGGATCAAATTAAGTAGCTGTCTTGGGCTACGTTACAGAGCAATATCTAGCTTTAAACACGACTGCCTTTTTCGTTCCTAAAAAAAGGCACAAACAATGACAAGCTAAAAATAGCTGTTCTCTTGGAGTTGACGACAGTTTCTGAGAGCTTGTCTTTAGGAAGATGTTGGAAAAAACCTTGCTGTCTTTTCCCCTCCCCCTTATTCTTCTTTAAATGCACACCCTTCTGTTTAAGCTTGTTCACCCCATTGCACACAGAAAGATACCCACTGATTTGGTTAGGACTTCGGTGTTTCTGAAGATTTCCAAGGGGGTTTACATAAAACATTTAAAGAAATCTAAAAGTCACTGCAGATATTTCAATTAAGTTATGCTTATCCTACGCAAATTGCTCTGTGCTGATAGAGAAGGAGGTAGTAAAGCCGCTTTCACTCTTTGCCTCCCACAGTATCTGCTGCAGTGGGGAGAAAAAAAAAAAAAAAGCCTCTTTTCTGGTTTTATTCCCGGAGATTACTTCATAATTCAGTACTGATAGCAGTGGTTTCCGGTGCTGTAAACAGAGTTGAGTCTTTGACTTTGTGTCCCTGCAGCCCAGTAAACAATCAGTTAATTCGCAGCATCCCAGCGGTTGACAGGAGTGAGAGAAGTGGTTTGATTTTATTTTTGTGCTTGTGAATTAAAGCTTTGCCTTCTGGCTAGGTTCTGAGTTCCCTCGTTCTGGAAGACATTGGAGCATTTTGAATTCAGAATATGTAGTTACAAATGTGAGGGCACAGACTTCTTCCAGGATTTTTCTGCTTTCATTTTGATTTTTCTTTGTGTTTCTAATCTGAAACAAGCAAGAGAACAGTTCGAAAGCAATGTCCAGTGCCTGAGCTGGGAGCACAATGCAGTTCAGGATATTTAGAGCTAGTCCGCTGCATTTTTATTAAATGAGAGGGAAGGAGTAGGTGGGACTTTTTATTTAAAAATAGATTAGCACAGGGAACTGAACTTGCATTTTAGGAAACGTTAATAAGCCAGCCAGCCATTGTCCTTAATCAGAGACTGTATTTGTAAGTAGAACATGTTGAATCTGTCATGATTGATGACGTTGTCTTTGTTAAAAGGGATGCTGCATCTTTAATAAGAGCAGACAGAAGCAGTGCAGAATCTACAGTAAATTTGAGACTTGGAAGAGAAACCTTTCTTCATTTTTCAGTGTATAACATTTGTAAGATATTGAATAGGAAAACATCAAAGCCAGGGGGAAATATAAGTAACTCACTGCGTACGTTTTAATTCCTCACCTTTCCCCCCTGGCTGAGTTCCCCCTCCTTTTTCCCCCCTGAATTAAAAATGCTGGAAGGAAAAGCAACTGAGGTCCAAGTTTCAGATGCTGAATTCTCTGCTAATTGAAATTACTGGTCATATTTCTATATATAGTTGCTGAAGAGATATGTAGCTTTCACTGAGTGCCTTCAAGACATGTCTTTTTGTAGTCAGAAAAACAGAGATCAATGCATTTTCAAACTGACAGAGGGAACGGATGCTCCTTAGTAGCACATGCTCGGGATCGTGTGTGTACCGTTTGTGCAGAGCAGAGACGCTGAATACTGGTCCATATGCTCCTTGTTTACTGCAATGTTTTTTGCATGTTACTGTGCACTCCGGACTAATGTGAAGGTAAGAGGGGACGAGACAAGAATTTGGCAGGAATGTACATGTAAAACCAGCTGCAGAAAATGTCTACCTTGTGTTGCTGAGTACTTTGGAATTGCTGGCTGAACAGGCATATTATTACAGGTGGTTGTGGAGGCTTTGTTTTATCGTTGTCTGTGTGGCTAAAGCATAGAAGCATGTTTGAATTTTGCAGTTTAGCGACCTTCAGTTTTTAACTGCTTGCAGTTCAGGTTCTGGGCTTTCATGGTCTGATAAACATGTTTTGCTACTGTCCAGGTAGGCCAGAGGCAAGATGCCAAAGGCTGTTTGTGCAAGGCTACATAGCTTTATACAGGATGAGAATTCCTATAGTCGGGTCCCCCATGCATCCTCCCAGGGATGCTGCTTGCATGCTTTCTTGTTGATTACTTGTCTGAAAGCCGGGAGTCTTGCTGCTGCTATCTGGGTTGGTTTTTGTGCCAATTTGTTTCTAACTTGAACCAAAATGCATAAAAACAAATTATAAGCCATGTGCTAAGAAATAAAGAAAGGATTATTACTGCAAAATGCTACAGGAAAATGCCAGTTGGCTGCACCGGTCTCGCAGTAACTATTAAGCAGGATTTGTCACTAATGTCAACATTTGCTTGCACTGTTAATTAGAGTCAGAACTTCAATATAAGTTGCTGGATATATTACCTTCTCTGCAAGTAGGACAATATTAGCAGACAGGTTCACTGGCATTGAATTGAGCTCTCAGTCAAGCTGTGGGCCAGCTGTGGGAATCCAGTTGCATAATTTAAATGAATTACAGTCCTTAGCCAACATATTGGGGAGGCACTTCTGGCATTCTGGCTTTTTCAAGTTCAAATGAGTGTATCTGTCTGGGAAGGAGAGCACTGGTAAATGACGGGTAATAACAGTTAGAACAGTTTTACCTGCAAAAGTAATTGCAAAGGATTTTTTGCTTTCAAACTGCTTTAAGCATGTCTCTGAATTAAAGTGGGTTTTCTGTATTTGCACTTAGTGTAATAATAATGAACTTCATATTTATTTGTTGGGTCAAAATATTTGTTGTCATTTGATTAAAAAATTATTTTGCATTAAAAGTTCACATTCTAAGAGCCTGCTCCTTTGTTTTTGCTCAAAGTCTGTACTGTTGTTTGCTGTAATAAATTGCTAAGCTTTCACATTTTATTACTTTCTAATTAACTTTCGCAATTATGATCCACTTATAAGGAGGAATTCTTTAAATCTGCAGACAACAAGCCAAAAAATACAAGTTAAAAACTTTAATGCCATTCTGTCTTCCTAAATACATATATTATCCTCCCCTTATGCTTTCTTATAATGTTTTTGGCAGGTTAGTAAACTTTATTTGTTTTATATTCCCTGTGATCTATGTAGTAAATTGTCAATATAGAAATGTTTTGAGACCAAATATTCTTTGTTGCTCATTTTGTCCCTCAGCCTGCAGTTCTGTACTGAAGATCTTCTGTAAAAGTGGGGTTCTTTTTGAGATATGATTTCTCAGTTTAAATAAGAATAGGTTCACGGGAAATTTCAATGGCAACTTTTACTGTAATTTCCACGAGATACCTTGTCAATAAGTACCTCAGCAACGGTTAGAAGTCTCATGGGTTTAACTTTTGAAATATCTTTGTTTCCATTCATAGACAGAGGAAAAAAGTAAGAGGTTTGTACCAGTACAAGTCTGGCAATTGTTTGGACAAGATAGTTTTAATTTGTTGGAACTTCTTCAACTGTTGAGTATTTCTGAAACAATTGTTTATCATAAAATATCTGGTTTTTACATGATATTATTCTGAAGATGTTACCTCCAGATGTTTTACTTTCAGTAAACTCATCTACTCACAATGTATACTTTGATAATCTACTTTCCAAGTTCTACATTAGGCTACAATACTGGAATAAAGCAACACAAACTTTGCCAATCCCCCCAGGAACTGCTCAAGTACGGCAGCACCACTTGTGCCTTCAGTCATTCCTGTTTTCTTTTTCTGACATTGAAGTTTGCTTAATAAATAGTTCATTGAATGGAGCCTGGTTATTGTACAATATGTCGTATAGTGTTTATGAAGAACTCTGTTGCTTTTAACTTGGTTGGCACTAACACAACCCACAACTCTATGGGTGGCCAAAATAAATTAAAAACATTATAAAACATCTGTTTTGTGTTTTGCATTTTCCCCCTTTATGGGTGGAAAAAATCCTAGTGGTGCTCAAATATTTTAGTCTTTAAGTCATAAGATAGAATAAAACTATAAGTACAGGCTGTAACAGGAAATAGATTTTCTTGGCCTGGAAAATGAAAAAGGAAAGCAATTTGGTCTGTTTCTGATGGCAGCTGTACATTATGGCTTTAGAGAAAGGAGATTTTTCAAGTTCAAGGTAGGACTCTCACTTCTGGATTGCCAGTCTGTATGAAACTGCCCATGTGAACTAGGGTTGAATGTGCAGGCCTATCAAAAGAGAGGTCTACTCCATGCATTCTTAATCAAAGTCTATTTTTACAGCTGACTAAAGAACAGTACTGACTTTGAATGTGTACCTGCCTATGTGGATCCTTATTTCTTACTGCCTGAGTGCTGGGTAAAGTAGACAAAAAGATGTCTGAGAATTTATGAGCAAAATCTCTTTGTCTATCAGAGTTTCTCTGGACCTACATTTTAAATTATTAAAAAAAAAAAAAGGTATTGCTTACTATTATTGTCTGTTTACCACATACAGTGTTATTAGAATTCTACATTTTGGACTGATCTCTTCCTTGCTCTCTCATGTATGCACAATTTTGTACCTCAGTGGAAGAAACCAAAAATGAGCAGAGAAGTCAGGGAATTAAAATGTGAAAGTGGTTCCTCCCAAATCTGAAGTGTTCTTGTGGAAATGTGCAGTGTGTCTGAAAAAGTGAAAACTTCCTATATGCAGTACTTAAATATATTGTTGTATTTTCAACATGAGTAAATCTTGGGCTAACTATGGCAGGGGGCTGCCTGCTGTCAAGTGTTTGTTGTTTTAATTGTGTCCACTGTGTATTGAAAACACTTTATTCATATGCAAGAGATTTTTAGAGGTTGTCATTAAAACCTTTCTGTTCTTGGTTCAGGCAAGTATTTTAAATTCCCTCAGTATTAGCAATATTTCTTGTAAAACTATGGCTAACACTGCAAATATTTAGGCTCCACAGTCTTACCTAAGCTTTAAAAACTTTTATGGATTGTGTCTGGCTTTTCTTAAAAGTTTGTAGAAGTTTTGCCTTCCCCTGGCCTTGATGAACTCTGTGTAGTTCTGACAGATTTTTCTGTGAATCTGGGCTGCTATTTCTGGCTGACAGTTTGAGGGTCTTACTGGAGGCACAGCTGGTTCTTCTAGGAATTCGGGTAGCAGAGCTGAAGTCTTCCATTTGTACTTTAGCACAGAACTAGATGTGAGTGTTGGGCTCTCTCACCTTGAAACATCTTCTTAGCAGCAGTCAGCACTGGCTCTGGGGTTGTCAGAGCTTCATGTAAAGAATGTGAATTCAGATCCAGACTCTTTGAAGTGCCAGAGGCTTCCCAGGAGGTTCAGAGTTACTTGAGCAGGAGTTTAAGGCTGTCTTCATGTTAATGGGTACGCTTGGCACCTCACAGAACTGGGCTCCAGCCCGAGCACTGGGTTAACTAAGAGCTTTCTTTGGTTTTCTCTGCTAGCTGTGGGCTACTTATTTTATCTAAAACTATGCAGAAGATGTAAAAGATTTTGCCTGTGTCAAAAAGTTACCGTGATATGATCTACGACTGAAATGTTGAACTAAGCATTGTCACTTTTTGAGGATCTCAGATGATGGAGAGGACCTGTTGGGGTAGGAATGGAACATGGGCCTATGGAGGGTGTTGAGAGATGGAATCCTTTAATCACTTTACCTTTCTGTGTATATCCTCTTTTTCCACAGCCATTGCAAAAATATAGATAATTATTTTAACCTAGAAGCTTCCAATTGCAACCTAAGTTAAGGATTAACCATAAAGGCAGAGGAATCATAATAACAAGTAGCAAAATGTTTCACTGCCCAAAGCTATAAAACGTCACAAATGACGACTGAACTTCTGACTTCTGCCTACATTTTTACACACAGCTGTAATTCCTCCTCTCTGCCCATCTCTATCAATGACATAATAACATAATTAACTTGTATATATCCCAGATATTCCCACCTGTACCAGGAGTTGTTTTGGTCTTCCAAAGCAAAAGAGCTTATGGATCTTTCAGACTTGGGCCTGTGCTCTTATGCTATTCTTTGTGAAGGGTGGATGAAGTGAAAAAGGACTTCAGGCTCTCACAGACTTCCAACATGTTCCTTGGTTTCTTATGCATATTTTTCTCCTTTAAATGTTCAATCATGCACCGTCATCTAACACTTCTCGATGAAGTGAGGAACAGTTCAGAAGCCACAGGAATGGCTTTGATGTAGCATTTTGAAAGGCGTAAGCAGGAAAGATTGGTTTCTCACTTTTCCTAATGTAATTAAGAATTGACTCATGAGCAACTTTTATTTGTGTTTACTCCTTTTTGTAGTTCTCATTATGTCTGACAGTCTGACTTATTTTACTCATAGCTGCAGAGACATAACTACAAGTGGCAGGTCAAAGTACAGTTCCTCTGCTACCTTAGGACACCGAGGCAAAGTGTGGCATAGTACTAGAAATCAGAAAAAGTGGTGTGGAATTTCCACCCTGAGAGGTTTGAGGATAAGGAGAAGGACAATGCTATATAGGTTGTGAATATCTAGTTGCATTTCTGTAATATATATTTTCATTTGCTTATAAAATATTTGCTTAGGCTGTAAAATAAGCGAGACCTTGAACTTTCTAAGGGATTTGTGCAACACCTGTGGGATCTAGCCTCAAGAGCTACAGCCAGCTGAGCTGTTTGTATTGTTGTCATCCTTTTGCTAGATAAGGATGGAATTCTAGGGAAGTCATAACTCATTGCAAAAAAAAAAAAAAAAAGCTTTAGTGATTTCT